AGTTTATTTTCTTCCCCGGCCCAGCGAAAGTACTTCGTCTTTCCATGAGAAATCGAGATTTCGTGATCTTCCTAGGGATAAAATGCCTTCTTGCGACATGTAAGGAGATATTACGGACTAATCCGCCCGCAAGACAACAATATACAAGGCACTACTATGACGTTTGGAAGCTGGGCCCCAGGTAGTTTACATGACTGTTACACCACATGTAACATTAACACATGCCGCGCAAACAAAATGGCGGACTCCAGAGCTGCCACTGATTTAGTGTCTGACTATGGCTATTTGACCCAAAGTTCTTTTCAAATAATGTTTTAATTGGCAGGGACGGTAACTTTTCATTCACTGTTTGCTTAGCGTCAGCGTTATCAGAGAAGTCGGTAAAGATCGTGGCAACATCTTTGGATTCGCGCGCTGTCTTGACGAACAATCACTTCGCTGTTGAAAACATCGATAAATTATCTGCTTTTAAGAATGTCGAGATCTTGCATGAGGTGGACGCAACGAATATGACTGGAAAATTTGGCCCAAGAATCTTCGACCGAGTGATCTTTAACTTCCCACATACTGGTGGAAAATGAAATATCGGCAAGTCGAAAGAGCTTTTGGAGCGGTTCATTGCAAGTGCCACACATCACGTTGACAACAATGGGGATATTTGTGTGAGCCTTTGCCAACGCCAGGGAGGGACATCTTTGAACAACCCAAGAAGGGAGCATGGAAACACTTGACAGGTTGTTTCTCAAGCCGCTAGAGCAGGTTCGTAGTACATGTATAGCTGGTAGGTAGGTAAAGTCTGCGTACGAGCCAAGTCGGCTGTTATCTCCTTAAGTTGCATGAAACGGCTAGGAGTATTCTACTCCCCCTTGGATGGGATGCTCTTCCATCGCATGGTTACCCCCAGCATTAAATTGGCCGATACCCATTTGTACACCTGGGCGAAGAGAGGCACCGTGAGATCAGTAAGCGTCTTTGAAGCTACATTTGAAGCTACAGAACACAACACAATAACCCTGACCAGGGCTCGAACCCGGACCTCTCTGATCCGGAGGTGAGCGCAATAACCATAAGGCCACTGCACCTCCACATAGTATAGCTGAGTATAGTAACAAGAGCATTTTGTTTTCCTTTGCCAGTCTCCTCTTTGCCTCTGTTTTACCAGCAAAATAAATATGGGGTGTTACATAAAATTCAAATTAACTTTACATGTAGGTCCCTCCCCCAAAAATAAACGCATATTTTAACAATCTATAAATCAGTCACTTAATAAACGCACCCCCTTACTCCTAAAAAATTCTCAGATCCAGAAATTCTTCTAAGCACAAGCTCCTTCAAATGACATAAGCTCAAAGACCTAGAGCAGTTTTGAATTGAGTCAGTGTCAAAAGTAATCGGGCAATTTTTTTGGTTTCGGTTTTACTACGGTTTGAGTAATTGGTTTTGGTTTTACAACGCTCAATTGCAAACTGCTCTAACAGTAAAGTAAATGTAGCTTCAAGCCCTCCATGGTAGGGCCAGCCTTGTACCAGAGCATTACTATGATGAGCATGACTTTGAACTGAAATAATGGAAAATATGGAAAATATCTGAAAATAATGATCTAGTTTTGTTAAATACTACAATGTGAGTTTGCTGAAGCTACATGTATTAAAGAGGTGTTGTGATAAGTAAAGTTGTAGATGTACATGTAGATGCACTGACATGAATTTCAATCATGAAATCCAATCAAATTTTTAGTTGTTGATGCATTCTAGATAAATGGATAATTTTATCTGGCAAGTGAAATCTTGGGAGAGGACAAAACTGAGGAGGACTTGGTTTTGTCCCCTTCACTTTGTTTAAGAATGGAATCAAACCTGGCCAAGTGTACATGCGCCATTGATAATCAAAATTCGTTTTTTACTTTCCAAAAATATAGGGCTAGTTTTGATTGCTGTATATCCAATTAGAAGTATAGATTATACTTCCTATAGAAGTGCAGGCTTCTGTGGACAGCTTGGTAAAGGTTTCCACACTATTAATGGACTTACTCGT